TGCGTTTGCAGTGATCGCCGATACACTGAAAAGGAACGGATCAGTGCTAATGCCAATCTGTCCAACCGGTATCGTCTACGATCTTCTTGAAGTAATTTCGGCACAACTTGATCAGGTATTTGAATTTTCTTGAAAAGTGTGATTGGGAAAGAAATTTTTTTCTTTTACTTTATGTATGTATATATTTCAGCGCTAACAGGCATGATGTAGTTGTTGGATTTACTGGCTCGGCATTTCCTCGACTGCGCAATAATTCGGGGTAGTAGCAGGGTCCACGTTCCTCGTGAGTCGTCTGGGTCACCTCCACAATACCGCAACCCCACACTTGATCGGCACTACTGACACGGCGGCCTTATATAGGCGGCTTTTGCGCCATTACACGACCTACCTAGGAGGGAGTCATGATGCAGCTTAGTGATTCATAATGCCCTTTTGCTGAAAATCGTGGGGATTATTAACTTTGATGTTTTTTAGCATGATGTCTCAGTGGATGTTCCCGTGTATTTTATTTCTCCAGTAGCCGAGAGTACATTGGCATATTCAAATATCTATGCGGAATGGCTATCAGAGAAGAAGCAAAACATGGTGAACATACCGGAAGAACCATTCAAACACGGGGTGGTAGGTTTTTAGCATATTAACAAATTTTTTGTATTCATTCCATGTGTGAACCAATCGGGTGGTGCTTCATATAATGGGGTCAGTCTGAAGGGATTCAGAGAGGTTGAATATACATTTAAGTGGATGAAACTCTCCCCCCTTTTTTTTCATCCCTTCAATTCTGCCCGCTTCAAATCTCAGCCCTTCTTAATAATGAACGTTGCACGATTATTAGTTTGGCTTGTTTGGATCGAAGAATACTTTCATTACAATTTCATTCCAGCTACACTTGCATTGTTTTATATATGTTTCCTCCCCTCTCTCGTCCTTTCCTTCTTATTTCAACTGCTATATCATTTTTACTCAGCACATTAAATATCACGGCGGGAGGAACTCGAGTCAAGAGACGGAACCGAAGGGCATCTGGACAAAGATGGAACCGAAGCGCAACTGAGCAGAGACGGGACCGAAAGGCAACTTGCATATCACAAGGAACCGAAGCGTAACTGAGCACAGATGGAACCGAAGGGCAACTTGCATATCACAAGGAACCGAAGCGCAACTGGGCAAGGCGAAAGGGATTTAGCCGCCATCTTCGTTTCCTTATTACTCGCTCCTTCTTCCCTTTGCAACATCTGTGATTGAACAGACCATAAGTAAAGTCCAGAAAAGTTAATATTTATTTGGGAACATTTTTTAATGGTGTCACATGCAACGTACACTTTTTATCATTTTTGCTGGCTTTCCACGAGTTTCGCGACAAAATAATTTTGTTGTAGTTTTCAAGAACTGGACGTTTGAAAGTTTACAACACTATATATGGCGATTTTTGTCGTCAAATGCGAACTCCCTGTGTCATTTTCACTGGACATCCTTCTTTGCGGATTGGTGATGCGGTGCACTTCCTGGAAATGTGGGGCAATGATTCTAGAAATGTTGTGATTTTGACAGGTGATTTGGCATTTCCTTTCTTTTTCGTACTTCCTTAATCTACGAAAATCCACTGAAAAAGGAGAGACTTTTTTTTTTGTCCTGGAAGGGATTACCAATGTTTGGTGTAGAAAAACGTAAAATTGTGCTGGTAGATACAAAGTTAGAACACTAATTTAATCCGGCCTCTTAGTCCTTTGCTTCTTTTCGGCAACAGGGTTTCAGGGCTTAAATTTAAAGTCCATTTCTAATTTCAGTTTATTTCGATGGTAAATTGGTACTGGCACATGCTAGATC